TGTGTGGGAACTGCTCAGCACCGAGTCCATCAGTCAGCACTGGAGTACTGTGTGTCAGTCCCTCCTTGAGCGACCTCTGGCCTTGTGGGATGACCTTTTGCAGCAACTCTTTCTGCAGCGACTTCAGGTACTCGTAACCGGTTTAACCAGTTTAACTAGTCTGATAAGTGTGTTAGCACTGTTTACAACTGCTAATAACATACACTTGTGATCCCATCACAAGTATTCAGGCAAGACTGATTGCTATTCACACCTGGATGTAATATGTGGTTTAAACACATCTCTTGTGACCACCTGACTATATACATAATTCACCATGTCAGGGTGGTACTGCATGTTAATGAATCACAAAATGTATATATTAAACCAAAAAAAAGTTGGGACACTGTTGTTCTGATTATTAGAATATTATTTTGATAATCCATAAATGTGTCATTTTGGGCATTTTTTTAGGTAATTGAATGAAAATACTTGTTTACCCTTGATCTCTCTAGGTGATCACACAGGAGGGCACAGAAGGGATCTCCAGCAGCTCTAGACAGCTCTTATCTTCAGCTCTGCGGGATCTGCAGGGTCAAGCCACAGCTGGGAGCTTCAGCCGCGGGGCGCAATACGAGAGTGACGTTGCAGCTTTCCTGTGGTCCGAGTCTCAAGGTGACCTGCTCAGCGACACAGCCTGGGTGAGTGTAGCCCAGCGCAGCCCGCAGCAGAAGAGCGGCCTGTCAATGAAGACACAGGCCCTCACCCCCTGCGTTCAGACCTTCTGCTTCTCCCTGGACTCCAAGCTCAAAGCCAAATTAGATGATCTACAGCACTACTTGCCCTCTGAAAAAAATGGCAAGGAGCTTTCAGAGATGGTCCCAGTCACGACTAACTCCCCTATTAACTGCTATATGGATGCTGGAGCTGTGGAGGACATTCTTAGAGAGCATTGCCTGGCATGTGTCAGGGACATCCTTTCTAGTGTGCGCGCCGAGTTTGCTAATGCCCAGACTAAGACTACCAGCCCCAGCCAGTTAAGCTCAGTGCTCTTTATGGCCAGACTATGCCAGTCAATGGGGGAACTGTGTCCTAGTCTGAAACAGTGCATTCTGGGGAAGCAGGGGGGCTTGGATCCTGTGAGCAGAGGTACTCCACGACAGGGCAAGAAGTTAGGCAAAGGCAACACAGCCAAGGCAGCGGATGTCAGCCCAGCACAGGCTAAGTGGAGCTGTCTGAACGAGGAACTTCTGTCCTGCAGCATGGAGGCCTATGGTATCTGGAGCTCAGCACTCACCAGGGTAAGATGATGAGCACACTCTTTGTTTAAGAGCTGGAGGTGTTAACAATACATTCTGAGAACAGAAAATCAATAGAGTTCATTCACCAGAGTGGATGCTTTTGTGCAGAGAACATATGTTGGGGAAGCTTTTTAACGCTTATATTCTTCAATAAAATTAAAATAAATAGAAATGCATTTCAGGCACTTGTGGGCAGCTTTGCTACGACTCTTCATGCTGGAACCGCTGGATCCATTCTGAGTACTGCGACAAATTGGGAAGAGCTTGAAATACAGGAAGAGACAGAGTCAGGAAACAGTATAATGTCCAAAATACGTCTCCCTGTGCAGGTAACAGCTACATTTATCCTTTTATTATTATTGAAGTTAATATATTATATATTATTAATATATTAAATGCATTAATGAGACCTAATGTGGGATACTCAATTTATTATACCTTTTAGCATATTGTGTTTCCAAAATTTTTCAAACCCTCGAATATGATGATACACTTTTAAGGGACCGCCTTCTTTAAAAAAATAAAGTCAGTTATGTCTTTTCATTTATAATGATCAGTTTACAGAAGATAAACAAATGTGCAACAGCACCTTTCAGAAGTTTGGGGGGGGTCAGTAAGATTTTTTTAATGTTTTTGAAACATTGCTCACCAAGGCTGTATTTATTTAATCAAAAATACAATAAAAACAGTAATACAGTGAAATATTACTACTATTTAAATAACTGTTTTATATTTTATTTTAATATATGTAAAATCTTAATTTTGTTTTGCGGGCTCCCTAGCACCCCCTTGTGGCCACCTGTTTTGAAACAAAATAATTCAAAATGTTTTATTGAACTGAAAGGATGTTGCTATATAAATTATAAAATAATCATTTAATTTCTTTCTCTCTCTCTCTCTACAGCCATCATGGTATGTTAATTCGTTACTCTTCCATCTGTGCCTTGAGGTCAATAGGGTCGGAGGTCATGCGTTACCAAAGGTCACTCTCTTCGACCTCTTGCGGGGTTGTCTAGACCAGGTGGTGAGTGAGTATGAAAAACTCACTCAGGACACACAGGGCAAGGTGAGACGATCAAATGTCTCTTTTATCCTTCCATTCCTGCTTTTTAGTCACTTTAATAATGGAATGATTCCATAAAACCAATTTTCTTTTGTCTCCTGTCCTTGCTTCCTCGCTCTATCTAGGATGCAAACCTCCCCATGACCCAGAACAGAGCTTTGCAGCTGCTGTTTGACCTTCGCTATCTCAGTGCCTCTCTAGGGTCCCGCCTTGAAGAGGGCAGGAGTTCCCGCTCTCAGCAAGACCCAAGGTAACCTGTTCATAAGCTAGGGATGGGCACAAGTTCTCAGTAGGAAGTCATGAAAGCACAATCATAGTGTGACTTGACCTTCCAACTTCAAAACAAAGCACAACCGATTACACCAAGAATAGCTCTTGCCTAAGCAGCAGACCTCTTACACTTTTCCTTTATTCTTGCTGTTTGTTTAAGGATCCAGCAGGTCTGCGACTCCCTGGAAAGTCACATTGATCCATTTGACCTGGATGTTTTCACTCCACATCTGAACAGTAACCTGAACCGGCTCTCACAAAGGACCTCTGTAAGCATAGCCAAGTTTTCTCCTACTAACCCTGTTTTAAACATCCTGCAGTTTAATTGGCTCATTCAATTTGCCTATTCTCATGTGATTTAGATTGGCATGATGATTGTGGCCTTTAATAGTGTTTTGTCCTGTGTGCAAAACTGTGCAACCTAATGTTGATTGGGTCTCGTGTTGTTTCTAGGTGCTTTTAGGATTGTTGACTGGCACAGAGAAGCAGTTTACCTCTAGGACCAACAATCTCAACTCTCAGGAACCATACAACATCCTTCCTTTAGCAAGCAGCCAGATCCGGTGACTATAACACTCTTATCTTACCCTTCACACTGTTTAACTCATTGTTATATATTTATGGCTAGTTTATTGCTGTCGTGCTGTGTGCTTCATTATTGCACAAGATAATAAAAATATATTTATTTAGGAACGTCATAAACTATTTTAATAGCACATTTTACTGACTATACTAGTTTTACATTAAATTTAAAATGTAAAATAAAATTATACTAATATATCTTTTTAAAACTATTTTTAAATGTTACATTTTCATTTATATTTAATGTATAATAATTTTCAGTAAATGTAATAATTTCATTCATTTATATTTTAATTCATTATATTTTTCATTATATTATGTTTGTTAGATATTTAATTTTATCTATAAATGTATATTATAAATATATAATAAATTATAATAATATTTTCCCCCTTTAAGGTTTGGTTTGCTGCCACTGAGTATGACAAACTCTCGGAAGACTAATTCAGCCACACATGGAGCAGATATCACTAGACCACTGGTAGGTTGCTTAAGCATTTGGTGTGTAGTGCTAAAATACCTCTGCTGGTATGTTTAAAAAAATAAACCATTGAGTGATAATATTTTTAGAAAAAGAGTTCAGTTGGTGTTTTACGTTATCATGGCTTTGCAAATGAGTCCCTTTCTATCAATGCTCCCAGTTTTACGTGGCCTAGCAGAAGAGCTATTGGATCTCAAGGCGATAGGTGATGTTATATTGTGTGCTGCCATTTCATTTTTTGCAGTGAGCTTGCAATGCATTGTTTTGAATTTCCTGAACTTTAATCACTCTGGTCACATCAGCTGGATATGCTTTGTGAATGTAACACTTGGCAAAGCAGCACTCAAATGCAACTAATACATTATGAATATTGTGCAGTATGAGGATCGAGCAGTTTTAGCATCATCAATCACAAGAGTTTATCTTGAGCTTAATACTTCTGTATTATAAGCAAATAAGCGCCATGTAGTTACAGATTTCTCCACTGGCCTTAAAACTGCTAAAACCTTTGCTTGTGGTGACACTTTTTGCCTCTTACTGTGTGGAAAAACTATTTAAAGCTCCGTGTCCCAACATTATGAAATGAAAATCAATTTTTAAGGAAATTTACATGATTTTTTTCTATTTTAGGTGGCTCCCTCCTCTGCTTCTGCTCCACAGGATAGTTTCCGCCCAGGAAATCTCTTCAGGCAGTTAGCCAATCAAGAAGAGGAATCCGCAGCCCCTTCTCTCTTTAAATTAGGCTGGCTTTCTGGCATGGCCAAATAAACTTTTATTATAAAGTTGGTATTTTTTTTAACCGCATACAACACTATGTAAAATAATATTTAAAATACATTTTGAAATGTTAAACTGTGTCCTGTATTGCCTATTCTCACAAAATCACGATATAAAGAGAAATTGCAATGCAAAGCATATTAATAAAAGGGAAAGATTAAATGAAAATTACACCTTTGTATTTATCAAGCACATTAGCTATTATTTTGTGGCTTTTAATTATTTTATTCGGATTAAAATTATTTAGTATTTTCTATTATTATTTTTTTTTATTAGAAGGTACATTTTGGTGTAAATGTATATTTTAGCATGACATCCTGATTAGTTACCCTAATTAAAAGGTTGATTGCATATTTCATTTACATTTTTCGCAAGTGAGAACTAATTTAAAAGGTTTTTTTTTGTTTACTATTTAAGTAAAGGTATTTGAATAAAAGGGCTTTTTGACTGTAGATTTGTAATTTAAATTAAGAAAAGATTAGCTACATCTTCAAAGAAGCTTCTCCCACACTGCAGGCATTATTACAACCATCATATAACACTGAACCAATGAACATGCTGTCTTTATTGTTCTACACTTAATTAAAGAAACACAGGTATTCACCATGACTATTGCACACATACAAAACATCTTCACACTATAATGAGAAACTGCTATACAGGTAAACAGAGATTGAAGGTAATTCAATCTTTGTGTTGGATGAACAGAATCACTGCATGGAAACAAGTGTGATCTGAAAATGCAGTATTTAGCAAACGACAAAAATATATCATTTGGATGTAGCAATACAAATTATAGGAACTATCTGTTTGGCAGTCATATGTACATAGTTTAACTGTTGTTTTTATATATTTGGTATCAATTCTGTGTACAGCAAATTTCATGGAAGAATTAAACTTAGAGTCTCTAAGTTTAGCTCTATTATCTGAAACTTTGTTTTGGATCTGTACATGTAGAGCACCCAAGAGTCACTAAGCCTTGTACGGGTCTCTTTTTATTAGTCAGATTGTTAGGTAAAGCATTTTCAGCATGCATCTCTGTCTCCAACTTTCTATTTGCGATCTAGTTTGCTGGCCATCAGTTTTTTAATGTCTACGGGTCCAGCTGCGGCTGCTGCCTTTGCTTTCTCTTCCTGCTCCTTCTGCCAGGTGATGATGGGGTCGATGCTCGGCCTGCGGTTCCTCATGTTTTGCTGCAGCTGGGCCTCACTGAGGGAAACAAGCCTTTTTATAGCAAAATACTGTTGGTTTGGTGACACGTGTTTTATATTTCTGAAATTACTTGTGTAGAAATTGCAATAAAGGCTCAGTAGCAATATCCACAAAATGTACAAGTACACTGACAAAAATTTGGTGCATAAACAATTTTCATTCAAAAACTGGTAGTAAATTTCACAAACAATTACAAAAAAATGGTAAGTAACACGCTGCATTAAACAAGAACTGCTGAAGCAGAAAAACTGAAATAGTCTTTTCTTGTAAAGCATACTCGGAATATACACACTCCAATCTTAGTTTTATTTACAACTTGGGAAAAAAAAATTTTTTTACAGCGTACAAATGCATATAGAATAAAACTGACTTACGAGAAATTGTGTGGAGCTGGTGAAATGGCCTTTTTCTGTATTTCCTTGTAAACTGGTGATTTCAGGTAGCGATAAAAGGTATCCTAAAGAAGAAATATAGAGTTCAGAAACTGTAAATGTCCGGTGTGCATCATTATTAACCAAAAAAAATTGTTTTCATTCATGGAAAAGTTCAAATTACTAAGCATACAGATTGCAGTTGATCAGACACAACAACAGAGCCAAGGATATGATCATACCTTTTTCATCAGCATGAAGATGTGGGTCTGGGCAGCGTCTAGTACATATCGGTGAGGATGTTCCAGTCCCTTTACTGTAAGACCCATTGTCCTGCCATCAATGTTGATCCAGCGTGGTGCTCCTGGGGCCAAAAACGTTCTACAAAAGAAAGAAAAAAAAAGCTGAGAGGCTTTGAGAAATGGAGGCATGACATGTAAAATACATGTCAAACATTACTTACTTGAAAATTTGTTCTGCTTTCTCTGACATAGAAGCTGCCGTGCCCCATTTCAACTCCTCAGCGGCTTCCCAGAAAGCTAGATTCTCGCCTGCAGTGAAAATGAAGAAAAAGAGAGAAAAACATCTTCAATTACTTTTAGGAACAGTATGTCTGAAAATGGAAATTCTGTTATTTTCTCACCCTCATTTTGTTCCATAACCATATGACTTATAATCAAGGTAAACAAATCAATGTCAATCTCCAGTCATTGTTGTTGTAGTTAACTAAAACTAGTCATTTTTGTTCATTGACATAAAGCTGAAATGAAAAGATATAATTATTGCTTAATCTTTAAAAACTTATATAAATGATAATAAAATAACACTGGCTCCAATATAGTATCAAAAGCACCATAAAAGTATACCGTACCTATAAGAGTAGTACTCAAAGGAATCTGAACTTTAAAATTAATCAGCTGATCCAGTTCAGAAAAGTGGTGTAAATCATTCTAAATTGGAATGATCCAGTAAAAAGACTAACACGAAAAAGATGCGTTTTCCTTTTGTGTACCATAGAAGAAAGAAAGCCATCAGGGTAAGTAAATGATGACAGATTTCAGTTTTTTTGTGTGTGTGTGAGCAGTAGTTTTCACTTTATACTAAAAAAATTGTCAAAGCTTTAATGAAATATTCACAAACCACTGAATTCTTTCTTTAGGAAAATCTTGAAGTCTGCACGGCCCCGTGGATCATTGAGCAGCTCATAGAAGCTAAAGGACCAGCGCTCCACTCTCATCTTTGTGGGAATTTCAACACTGTGGAAAAAACACCAAAAGTGATTACAAATCTAGTTAATATTAACTAACTAATATAAATTTAGAGAGCTCTCAGGAAATCTTACTCTGGCGCATTCAACTCCCAGTAAGAGTCGTCATCAGTGTGCCAGGGGTTGCTGGGGAGGCAGGGAACGAGGAATGGGTCGTGGTTCTTAAATGTTGTTATATACTTGGCCAGGCTGAATGCAAAGAAATAGAGATTTAGAATAAAACCCCATGAAGCACTTGTACACTGAAAAAATTATTTTTACAAGATTATTGGAGTATGTTTTACAAGAAAATTTAGTTTTTCTATTTCAAAATGTCACATCTAATTCAATGTGTTGCTTGCCGCGTTACCTGTGATTGTTTGTGAAATTTACTAGCAATTTCTAAGAGAAAATTGTTTCTACACTATTTTTTTCAGTGTAGGTGGAATCTACAATCGTTAACTCCAACTGTACAGTTTTAGTAGGCTAATTCTGACTTACGCTCCAAGAGATACTGAAGACTTGACCCTTGACCTCATGACGGCCTGAGAATCATAAATTAAGAATATAATTTTAGGTTTTCTGAAAGAGTGGTGGACAGTGCAGGTCCCTGCTGCACGTCACGCATACACTCGGGGAGCAGCAAACGTAAGAAAGTGAAGGCGGACCAATCACAGCGCAGCTCTATTCCTCCAATCTGCCACCAGCAGATACTGCACTGCCCAGACACACCGACAGGCGGCGACAGAGAGACCAACACTGTCTCTCACCACTGTTTCACATTGGGAACTGTACTTCATTTCATTTTATCTGCGCTGTTTTTCCATCACCAGAAATGACCGTTTCAGTTACAGCCTGATTAAAGGCCTGTAATAAAATCCTCTGCTGAGCAAGACTGGTCCACTAAATGTCATCTTTCAGAAACAGTAAGCAGATGCCTTGTACAGGTCCGTTCCAATTTTGGGATGTCAGCATGGCAGTCCCCATGAACATGTAACCTGCTCCAAGTAGAATAAAATAGCTAATTTTAGAAGACTGATACATCTAGTTATCATCTCATGTGATTGTAAATCATTTTATGATATTTCTCAAACGTGCTACTGTATCATATTTGATACCTACGTGAATCTCTAAGGTCTCTAACTTACGTTTACATTTAATCATTTAGCAGGCGCTTTTATCCAAAGTGACTTACAAATGAGGACAACAGAAGCAATCAAACCAACAAAAGAGCAACAATATGTAAGTCCTGGATAGTCTAACGAACTGGTTCTCAATTCCGGTCCTGGGGGCCCACTGCTCTGCACATTTTGTATGTCTTCCTTGAATCCTGGTTTAGATCATCAGCTCCTTATGGCGGGGGGGCGGGGGGTGGAGTCAAAAGTAAAAAATTTGATATGATATTATTCTATTTTTATATTAATTTAAACAATTATTATCAAACAATTATATTAATTTAGTAACATAAATATATCTTAGTGTAGGCTATATCTTTAGAGTTTTATAATTCATTATCTTCTTGTCGATCCACCAGTTCACATTTACAACTGCGTGTTTTCTGCGTAAAAATAAGGGTCGTTTTTGGCTTTGGTCTAAAGTAGCAGAAGGGCTTATTGAAAAATGCTAATTCATTCTCCGCCAGCAGGTGGCGCTTTTGCCGCTCATATTTAATCAATTAAATAGCCTTTTGAAGTGTAAGCTATATATCTCATTATACATGTAAATATATATTTACATGTATGTTTAGTTTTTTCACTGGAGCACCACCTGAGTCTTCTCCTCCCATTTCTATTAGTGATCATTGTTTCCTTCCCGCGGTACTCCCTAAGCACATATCAATAGCATCACTGGGCTGTAGGTTGCCAAGTTGAGGGGACAAATGGGTTGAAATTTGTATGCGTCGATCGTGTGAGAAAGATGCGTTTCATACAAGATCTGGCAACTGGACAACCTTGTAATTTGTTGTCGTGATTATTCATATAATGAGGTATGGCCCATACAAATACGGGAGTTTTACTGGAAGCGAATGTAGCCGTTTTTGGCTTTGGTCTAAAGAAAGAGCAGAAGGGCTTATTGAAAAATGCAAATTCATTCATTAATTCGACAGAATTGTAGACGTTTCCCCCGTAACCGCAGTAAGAGTAAACAAAGCTGCTCAGCACCTGACTTTGAAACTTCAGCGCTCATATTTAATCAATTAAATAGCCTTTTGAAGTGTAAGCTATATATCTCATTATACATGTAAATATATATTTACATGTATGTTTAGTTTTTTCACTGGAGCACCACCTGAGTCTTCTCCTCCCATTTCTATTAGTGATCATTGTTTCCTTCCCGCGGTACTCCCTAAGCACATATCAATAGCATCACTGGGCTGTAGGTTGCCAAGTTGAGGGGACAAATGGGTTGAAATTTGTATGCGTCGATCGTGTGAGAAAGATGCGTTTCATACAAGATCTAGCAACTGGACAACCTTGGAATTTGTTGTCGTGATTATTCATAAAATGAGGTTTGGCCTATACAAATTACGGGAGTTTTACCGGAAGCGAATATTGCAAACATATAAAATACGCCCAGTGGGATTTTTTGAATAGAAAGATTAAAAATACGGGAGAAATACGGGAAAATATTTAAACGGGATGATAGCGGGATAGAATGGTATAATACGGGAGAATCCCGGGAAAAACGGGAGGGTTGACAGGTATGGATCCATGAACTGAATCGAGGGCGCCAGTTAAAAGAGATAAACAAAATGTGCAGAGCAGTGGGTTCCCAGGACTGTAATTGAGAACCACTGGTCTAACGCAGCAGCACACATAGCAACATTTGTTTTATAATAAATAAAATGAATAAAAATAGATAGAATCAAAACAGAATAGAAAGAGTTAGTATTATGACGCTTTTCCACTGCGTGGTACGACTCGGCTCGGTAGCCGTACCGTGCCGTACCATGCAGTGGAAAAGCGCCATTAGAGGGTTAAGTTATTATAATTTTTTTGTAATAAATGAAATGAAAACAAGTAGATAGAATAAAAAAAGAATAGAGAACACTAGTGTTAGATGGTCAAGTGTTTTATAATAAATAAAAGAAAACAAGTAGACAGAATAGAAATAGAATAGAGAACACTAGAAGAGAACAACCTATATATCAGACTTTTGAGGAATGTTTATTTGTACATCTCACTCATCATTGTATTGCATTCATTAAAGGTACAATATGTCATTTTTGCCGCTGGAAGGCGCGTATTCAAAACAAACAGAAACAAAGGCGTAGTTTGATGACTCCGTGACTGAGTGTGGAATCATGGGAGTTGTGGTCTTCATCCCCACAGCCGATGCAATCCGACGGGACTCGAGCAGAAATCATGTTCATGGATGAGCTAATGATTTATTAACTTTGTAGTATGAAGCAGAGTGAGGCGGAAAGCCGTCGAAGCGAAACGAGGCCGCTGAACGAGCGTGACACACGGCTCGAAATCAGCAGAGCTTTTATTATGCCACAGTCGACTGCTTCTGCTCCTTCCAAAAGCAGCGCTGTTTTATCATACTAGATACGTTTGAAAGTTCTGTCATAATGCTACTCTGTGCGGTCGTCACCGGTCTATTAAAACGCACAACATATTAAAGCGTCTTTGGTGTTTCCATGTTTTCTACAAAACAAAACCGGAAATCGAGGGGTTATGACGTCATTGGCAGGCGACACAATGACACTATGGACACGGCCCGTGTCACTAGTTAAAATGGCTTATTTCTCTGGATTTAAACATTCTTCAAAACATTTGGGATAATGTACATAAGTCAGCAAAATATATAACACTGTTCTAGTTGTTTTGGGATATTTTAATTTAAAAAATCTTACATATTGTGCCTTTAAGCTACACAGTCAAACACAGTTAAAACTATAGAGCTTTTATCATAAAGCTAAGCATTTAAATATCATTTTACAAAGACATATTATTGGGATATTACATTACAAGCTATCAGAAATGTATCTGTTTTTGGCCATTTCAACAGCTTCACCAAATTGTATATTTGTGCTCACTTTGGGCCTTTACATAAAATGTATGTGTTTTTACTCCTCAAGTGTGAGCTTCATATTCTCACTGTATCATACTATGTGAGCTATAAAGCCCGATCAAATATGATACAAAATCATTAAACACATATGCACGGCCGTAGCCAGGATTTGAAAATTAGTGAGGTCCAAGGTGGGGTTAAGAATTGTGCTATAATAACGCCTACAAATACAACTCATTATATACACTAACACTTTAAAAGAGACAGAGATGCAGATGTTTGTGAAAAATGTTCTCCCTGTTTTGGAGGGATGAACACTGTTAAATTATAGGCTACCATATTTGTTGCATCAAGTTCAAGGGGTGAATAATTGTATCAGTTGATTATTAATCATGCAACAATACATATTACTGTAATAGTTTTCATTAATAATCATTGCTATATAGATGATAATGTCTAGTGCTCATATAAGTGTTTTTAGTTTGAAAATGTAACTACTATACTGAATGACATAGCACAGACTTCTTCATGACTAGTGTTTGCATAGGCTATTTCATTTAATTCTGTAACCTACTTTCTACAGATACAGTACTAGTGTTAAATGCTACTGTTTTTGACAGCATTGATAACGTTTCTGACAGATAATATTATGATATTTTTTGAGTTTCCCTTACCGAATGTGCTGTCCTGTCAGCAATAACCTGTCTTGTGATTTATTTTTTTTTGTATTGATTGCTGTCAGTTTAAGCGCCGATGCAGTGTTGCCAGATATTGCTATAAAAACAAATAAAAACCGAAAAATAAATAAAAAATAAACCGAAATTATTTCAAATCTTTTATAAATAAGATAAGATAAAGATATCGCCTACCCTAAACTGCAACAACCCAGTTTATTCACTTTCTAAAGTGTCAAATTAAGTGGAAGAGACAAGTCCCGAAACGCTTATAATAGTTGGACCTGGCAACACGAGACCTCAAGTCTCGTTCACTACGGCAGCGTCAACTATCATTTTCATACCACCGCGGACGCTAAACATTCTTGCAAACTGTCTAGATTGATACATGCAGACATTCATATAAGGAGTTTTAAACAGCAAATCAGTCATTTAGAGAACAAATTTTATTTTTGAACATGAAAAATGTACCGAGGTCTGGACCTCTGTGACCTCATAGCTGTCTAGGGGCCTGCACATATGCAAACTTTTATTTTTATTTTTTATATTTCCAATAAAAAGTAGATTTTTCTGGCTGTAATCGGTTACTTTCTTTGTGTAAAAGTTTTAATTCTAAACTTTTAGGTAACTTAGCGCACACCTTGTTGGAAGTTCGAACCCGCCCAAAACGTTCATCAGCGGGCAGAGCCAGTGTTATGGTAACGGCGCCCCGCCCGCCCCTAGCACTCAGGCGCGCGCAGTTTCACTCCCTACTGTATCGATGAAGTTGCACAAAGATGGCGGATTTCCTGCCGTCCCGGTCCTTTCTATCTGTTTGTTTTCCGAACTGTCTTCTCAACAGCACCGAGGCGGAACAACTGAGGAAATCTAAAGAAATAGACAGAGGTCTTTTGAAGGACAAAACCTATGTGAAACGGTTAGTCAAGATACTTTTGCTCGGCGCCGGCGAGAGCGGCAAGTCCACTTTCCTCAAGCAGATGCGCATCATACACGGGCAGGACTTCGATCAGCGGGCCAAAGAAGAGTTCAGAGCCACCATTTACAGTAATGTTATGAAAGGTAGGAGGCGCGTTTCTCATCCACAGACCTATGCAAAGTGCCATATGGGG